TGTGTTTCGTTGTGAAAGCGAAATTACTTTGTTTGGCCTTCCGAAAGAGGACACGACTAGAAATCAGTGGTTACGTTGTATTTACAACACTGTTCCAGAACAGTTTAACCCAAATATTCAGATGTGTGCAGTGCATTTTATGGAGGACTGTTTCCTGAACCTGCAGAGTAGCCTACAATGGGTCTGTGCACAAAGGCTGTTTCTATAAAGTGGGGCAGTTCCAACTTTGCAAGGACAGTCTGGCACTTCTGACTCACAGTCTGTAAGTACGTTTTCATTTAAAGGATTTGCCACTGATGATTCAAATGCGAGTTTTGAGCAGTGTAGAGTAGCGTTTGTAGTTTGTCATTTCTCTGATCACAAATGCAGACATGGTTTTATGTTTACACGGCGCATTGCAATACAACGCGTAAAAAGACAGTACAAGTCATTATAATCCGTAATTATGTCCCCACTGGATGCAACAAATGCCTCGTTTATAATGGGGTTTAATGTTTTTGTCTCGTCGCTCCGGCCGGGACAAGGCATCACAATATGGTAAGGGGCGTAACATTTCCGTCACACGCTTGAGGTATTCGGCCAATCACAACGCACTGGATAGCTGGCCAATCAGAGCACACCTCGGTTTTCAGACCGATGAGCTTTGTAAAAATCGACGCGTTTCAGAAAGGCGGGGCATAGAGGAGAAACAATAATGTACAGTATGTGGAAAATAATGTGTTTTTTGAACCTTAAACCGCATTTCATTACACCAAATACACAAAATACTGTTCTTTTTAGCAGCATCATATGACCCCTTTAAACATGCTTTTGTCAGGTGTTTTCAAAGTTTTTGGTACCATGGACCCCTAAATATGAGGATCTCCTTATAAGGGACTCCCTTTGTAAAATAAAAAAAAATGAAATACTACTTTCTTGTAAAATTAACTCTAGTTATCTTTAGGGGCCAAGCTCTGAAGGTGCGTAGGCACATATTGTAATAGTTGGCATTCTTCTTTTTCCGTTTCTTCAGTTTCCTTCTTCTTCTTCCACTATTGAGTCTATGGCATACTAGGGGTGTAACGATCCATCGATATGGATCGATACATTGATTAAATGTCCATCTATGCATTACCGCCAACACATGCATTCTCGTTCAAACTCACGTGTCGGGACCATAAGACTGCTTGAAGGCAGTGTTCGAATTGTGTCAAAGCTCTTGGGGGGTCCCACTAACCAGATCCCCCCACGCCCCCTTCAAATAATAAATAAAACCTTATGTAAATATGATTCTTATTTTTTTGTCTTGTCCTCGTTATCATTGAGAAAACCTAATTGTAAGATAAAAGCTTATTTTACGATGATCAGAGAATTATGTGTTCCAAACAATCACTAAGCAAAGAAGAATTAAATATCTAGCCTAGGGGTGTGCGATAATAGACAAAAAATGATATCTCGATATTTTATCGATAACGATAATCAGGCAATATTTTGCTGAGTGTGTTGTGCTGCAGGACTGCCGTGGACAGCTGACTCCTAAAGTTTCCAATTTTCTTCATATTCTGCGTGGTGGTCAGTTCACAGCAGTGACAGAAATTAATATTTTCCAACAAGTTTAAAGTGATTTTTACCCTTTATGGGCATTTTTACCTTCATAAAGCCTTTTTTTCTAGAATTGTGCATTATCTTTTGTTCAAATTCTTATATTTAATCAATAAAGTCAATTAGAATAATAAGACATTTAGAATAACAAAATCGTTATCAACAAAATTCACCTTTGCAATGCAGAGGAAACACAGAAGCTGCATCTGAAGAGGCATTTAGATGTATTTACACACTGTTTAATATAGGACATGAATGCATTTAACCTGCAGTTACAAATGCATAAATAATGTTTTTGATATTTTAATAATAAAGCATAGAATACTGATATTTGAAATTATATTAAAAAAACGTTAAGGTACTTTAAATGTGAAATTAAAAGTACAGTAAAAATTAAAAGCCAGTAGGTGGCAGCAAGTCACTGTTAAATCATTGCAATTGAACCGAATCATTTAAACGGTTGATTCATTCAGGAACGAAACGCCGTCATGTTGCTCAGAGATGCAAAACAGTGCTTTGGCTGTGTTTGGATCCATTTTTTGTTGGCAAAATATAGCAAAAATAGGCAATATAGTGTCTAAAACGTAAGTCGAAAAAATGGCACTCTTCGTGTGATATTGATTAACTATATGAAATTATATAAATATACACATTTTCTGCCTTGAATAGCAATAGAATTCCATATCTTGAATTTAGGGAGCATTCTAAATGCATTTTATTAGAATGAATCATGCAGTGAACGACCGCACTCTAAATGAGCACAGTCAGTCTAGCCAGTGTTTAAGCACCCATAACTCCTCTTATAATTTGTATGATAAATGAATCTCTTACTTTTATCGTACGTACATTTGCACTTTTGTTGCTTATGATGAGGAAATTCCTAAGTTTCAGTCTGAACAAAATTTTACATTTATTACATTTCTGTTCCTGAAAATTTCTTTTAGATCTGCCTGAAAAACTTGAAAAGTACTGTTATTTAATTTGTGTCTTTGTTATATTGTATTTTATTTTCTGCTATTGCTTGTAATTTGTTTATCTGTAGAAAAGGTTTTTAGCACTGAGCCCATAGTAGCAGCCAAAAAAGTCTCAAATAAAGTTTTAACAGCTTTATTTTTGTATGTTTTTAATTTATTTGTCTACATTAATGTATTTTTTTCCTACAAAAGTACCTCGTTTGTGTTGTTTCCTAATGAGGATTTACATAATTTTACACATTGCATATTTTAGCACAGAGGCCTGAAAGACTGTCTTGACTGTTGTCATATCTTAAGATTACTGATCTTGTCTTTTTTTCAATTATTTATTTTTCTTTATTATTTAAAAAAAAAAAAGTGTAGGCCTATTTTTTGTTGTGAATGTCCCAATTGAGGAACATGATGTGAAAATTTAAGATAAATGTTCATGTTATATGTTTTGGTTGCATTTGTGAGTTAATACAAATGTAGATGGTTGTTTAAAATAGGTATATAATATAATAATATCAATAAATCGATTGATATTCTCCTGTATTGAATCGTATCGAAATCGTATCGTAAAATTTTTTGAAGTATCTGCAAATATCTTATCGCTGGGTATGAGAATCGATATTGTATCGTATCATGACGAACCATCCGATTTACACCCCTATGGCATACCATACAACTGCTTGCGGGATAGTTATAAAATTTGGCACACAGATAGAGGACAGTCACCACATTATCCATAGTAAGTTTGGAGTCTCTAACCCAAACCCTCTAGCGCCACTAACGGTTCAAAGTTGCACTCGTGTTTATGCTAATAACTTCTGAACTGGAAATTTTAGAAGCAAACATTTTTTTTCCTCTGATACCTTGGCTCATGTCGAGTCAATTGGACACCAAACTTTACATTTCTATGGTCAAGATTTTTCGCAATTTTTAATAGTTCGAACTTGTCCTAGACACTTTGTCTGATTTTCACCAAAATAGCCTCAGATCAATGCTGGCAAAAAGTTATGGATTTCAAGTTGATTAGTTAAACCATTCTTGAATAACGTGTGAATGAATTTCATGAAGAGCATACAAAAATGGACATAAGTGCTACAGTATATCTCCAAACTTGGTGTGTGTTATAATAACCATGACCGGAGGCAACCTGCACAGTTTCGGCTCAGCACCACCTTGTGGTCAAAAGTTATAATAAAATTTGCAAAAATGCTAAGAACTTTTGAGTATATTAGCGTATTGTAATGAAACTGGTCTCAAATCTCAATATATTCTTTGGGTCTTGCCGTGAACATAGATATCAATTTTGCCGTAGTCAGTCGATCTTCCTGTCTGCCATTTTGATTTATGTTGAAACTCTACTTTTGAAACTCTATTCGAACTCCTCCTAGACCATCTGATTTTCACCAAATTTGATGCAGATCATCTTGCGACCATGCTGGCAAAATGTTATGGATTTTTTGTCAATATACGAAACTGTTATTGTTTAATGCATCAACAAATTTGCTGAATTAATGCGTGTCTCTCCAAATCTTTGACATATTGACACCAAACTTTCTGTGTGCCATTGCCACCTCACACTGACTACACCACATCAATTTGGTAACAGTGCAACCTATTGGTCAAAAGTGATAAACCATTAATCTTGCCTTCTTAGTGCTTGGCTCCTTAATTGCTGCTTGAGGCTATATTTGTTTAATTTGCTGGTTAGTTAGTTTCAAGTGCTAATATTAGTTTGTTATTGTGTTTCCGGACTCTGTTGTTTCAGATAAACGTTGTAGCAGGTTCTACTCTCCTCCAGAAGACAAAGAGCAGCTTGATCAGATCTGCAAAGACAATGTGTGCCGCTGCTCACAGGGTCAGTTTAGCTGGACTAACTTTGTGTTTTCAATCAACTTCTTACCTTTAACCAGTTATAAACCTTCCTTCATAGGTGACTGTTGTGTAATGAAGGAAGACTCCTCGTCTTTCAGTAAAGAACACAGGAAGGCCGCTGTGTGCAGTGGATTACATCATGGTGTGTGTTTCTTCTGTTAAATTAATGTGTTTTTTGGGGGGAAAGCCATAAAGATGTCACATCATCTCGTCAATAAATATGTCTTTTCTTCAGCCTACAGGGTCAAACTGATCAGCGTCAGCCAGAGTAACTACGACCAGTATGAGATGGAGATTGTGCAGGTTATCAAAGAGGGTATGTCTGCTAGAGTCAGATTTTCTCACGTACCCAGCAAACTGGCTCATGGATCTCCATTTGTGTTTGTGTAGGGACAGAGGAAGGCCTGAACGAGAATGAAAAGAGGATGTTCCTCTCTCATGCAAGCTGTAGGACAGGACTTGGTTTGATCGAAGGTCAGGACTATCTGATCACTGGGCCCATCACTGATGTTTGGCATGGAGGGAGCACGTCCAACAAGTGAGTAGCGTTAGGCACAGAAAATGAACATATTATGGTTCGTATTTCATAATTCTGTGTTGTTTTCTCTCTCAGGTATGTGTATACGTTGGGTAAGGACACATGGGTCGAGCGCTGGCCGTCCGAGTCTGAATGTGGGGCTGGATCCGCACTGGAGGTGAAATGCGGCGAGCTGAAAAGCTTCGCAAAGGACCTGACAGAAAGCGGCTGTCAGACTTGAGACAGATGTTGGTTTTTGAACATACAGTACTAATGGCAAAACTGTGGATTTTAAGTCTACGGCACATTTACATGCATTAAAAAAAAAAACACAACTACCAAAATTATGCTAACTGACAGTAATTTAATGCTACATTTGTAACAGAATGTTTGTAAAAACAAACTAATACCTTGAGGACATATTGTACTGTGTATCAAAAAGTGTTACAAAACTGAAAAATTTGTTCCCAAAAGTAAAACGATGGAATTAATTAGTACAACATGACCATGAAAATAATGGAAATAAAACAACTAAACAAATGAAACAATATAGGCACAATTTAATGAAAATAAAACATCAAAATAAATTAAAATGAGGGAACAAATTAATACAGCATGACCACAATTTAAAGTTAAAACAACAAAACAAACTGGTTCAACTTGGCCTTGATTTAGCAAAATTGACAAAACAAATTAGTACAATGTGGCCACAATTTAACAAAAACAAAAGAAACAAACAAAAAATACCCAAAACAAATTGGTACAACATGGCCATGAGTTAACAAAATTAAAACAAAGTAACATCTTGGTACAATGTGGTGGAGCTGATGAAGGAAGAAGCCAGGGAGGAGCAGATGGAGGGAGGAGCCAGGACCAGGAGGAACCAGGTGGGACCCAGACCACAGCCAGAAAGGCGGTCCACGGTGGAGCCGATGGAGGGAGGAGCCATGATGGAGGAAGGGCTGACGACTCCAGGGGGCCGGCTGACGGAGGCAAAGCCGGTGATAAGGGAGCCCAGAGAGAGCTGTAAAGCCAGGACAACGCAGAGGATCCAGAAGGCCAAGGCGGAGCCAATGGCTCAGGCAACCGTGGCACAGGTGGGGATCCGGAAGGCCGCGGTGGAGTTGGAGCGACAAAGGACCAAGGTGGAGCCTGACAGGGTCAGACGGACAGAGGGAGGAGGTGAAGCAGAAGGAGAGTAGTCCCAAGGCGACAGCAGGTCGACGACCGACCAAGGCGGAGCCGGAGGGACGAGGGAGCCTGGAGGACTGATGGGCCACGGCGGAGAGGAGGGAGCTATGAGCCATGGTGGAGCCGTGACGGGATGAGGTCCGGGTCTCGGAGGTTGGAACAAAGACTATAGAAATACAAAGAAGGTTCACTCATATACTTATGAATGGGAGAAACTGCAACGTGCAATATGGCGGAATAGTCCAGAAGCGAATCCATTCCACAGATGTTAAGCTGAGGATGAGCTGAGGGACTGGCAGGATGCAGCGGCAGCAGGGCAGAAGATAGTAGATGACTCACGAGAGGAGGTGGGAGAGGTAGGCTGGGTGGGAATTCATGACAGACGGGGTTTTCCGGGAAGGTGTATGCTGCCCACACATACCAAATAGTAGATAATAGGGGAATGACCTCCGTGGTCATGACAGGATGAACAGACAGTTTAGGGCAGACAGTCAGTTCAGGTTCAGTTCAGTTCAGACAGGGAGCTCATAAACGGCCACCTTGGCCCATAACAGGACAGGCAAACAGTTCAATGTAGACCTCCATGGTCGTGACGGGACAGACAGATAGTTTAGGGCAGATTGATAGTTCGGGCACTACCTCCGTGGTTGTGATAGCTCCACACAGCGGGGTGGTGTTTGGCTGGGCTCTGGGTCTGGAGTGGGGCTGGTGTTATCGTCCGCTGGTCTGACGGTCATGGATGAACCACATGAAACCAGCACCCACCTCCGTGTAGTCCGCAAAGCTCCCTCGAGGGCCCTCCCTGGATAACTGCGCACGTGTAGTAGTGTTCAGTCCAGCGTGTAAGAACGTGCTCATGCAGTCGTCCGGGAAGGTGGTCCAATGTGTGAGACTCAGAAATAACAATCGAAAAAACATACACATTGATCAAAAAACGAAAATTAGATTAAATCAAAAACACGCCACTTTTCTCTTTTTTTGGTCCGGTCTTCTGTCATGGTCAGCTGCTGTAAAACACACAAGCGCACGACGATAAAGGTAGAAGGTAATCTTTAATAAATCCTGAGGGCAATAAACCGCAAAGAGAGAGAACAGCAACACGATTGAACAATAAAGAACAGAATGAGGGCAACTTAAATACACCAGCAAACAAGGACACTAATGACACACACCTGAACAGAATGATGAAATCAAATCAATAACCATGACAACGAATGGGGAAAAGGTGCAAACTGAAAGTCCAAACTAACAGAACCATGACAGTGGCTACAGTTTAACATAACTAAATGAGTGAATGATTAATAAAATGTGGCCAAGATTTAAGATATTCAAATTGGGAAACAAATTTGTACAATGTGTTCCTGATAAAAAAAAATAAGGGAAGGAATTAATAAAATGAGCACAAATGCCACCAGTGGACGCAGTTTAACAAGTATAAGCTGACACATTCAAGTGAGATTATCCTTGCCAGTGTATTAACTCAGACATCACATTTCAAATATATACAGTCATAAATACTGGTCGCCCACTGAAGCTAAGCAGGGTTGAGCCTGGTCAGTACCTGGATGGGAGACCTCCTGGGAAAACTAGGTTGCTGCTGGAAGAGGTGTTAGTGAGGCCAGCAGGGGGTGCTCACCCTGTGGTCTGTGTGGGTCCTAACGCCCCAGTGTAGTGACGGGGACACTATACTGTCATCCTTCGGATGAGACGTTAAACCGAGGTCCTGACTCTCTGTGGTCATTAAAAATCCCAGGATGTTATTCGAAAAGAGTAGAGGTGAGACCTCGGCATCCTGGCCAAATTTGCCCATTGGCCTCTGATCATCATGGCCTCCTAACCATCCCCATATCTACTGATTGGCTTCATCACTCTGTCTCCTCTCCACCAATAAGCTGGTGTGTGGTGGGCGTTCTGGCGCACTATGGCTGCAGTCACATCATCCAGGTGGATGCTGCACATTGGTGGTGGACGAGGAGATCCTCCCCTCACAATATAAAGCGCTTTGAGTGCGTAGAAAAGCAGAAAAGCGCTATATAAATGTAATGAATTATTATTATTATTATTAAATATAGTTTACGTTGAAATTCATTTTAAATCACATTTTCGAAGATGTGCTTATGGGTTCCTTCTATATTCAGACATGCAACGCATATGAGATTGTGTCTGTAAAACAAGGGTGTAAAAAACCCTGACAGCTTAATGTATTTGCCCAAAAAAAAGCTGTTCACATTTATAACAATGTTCTAAAAACAAAAAAGTTTTTATTTTTTTCTACTCTTAATAGCATTTTGTTGAGAATAGTTTAAGTTAGAGATCTTTCTAATGCTGAAACCCTGGATTTGTTTGAATTTTGTCAGATATGTGGCCATTTGTTTGTGCTTAGAATAAAGCAAACATTACACAAGAAGTTTGGAGATGACTGTGTTGTGGATAGTGGGAGGGATATTAGGGGTATTTCAGTTCTCCTGCTGTTGTCTCTGACATATTGTGAGAGTTCAGTTCAGCAGGACGATGCTCCTTCCACTGCTGTTATGGATGGCATTGCTCTGTCACGTCTCTGATGGCCGGACTTCCTCTCAAAGACAGTGCGTTGTTTAATATTTTATTAATAACTTTTTTATAATTTAAATTTTCACCTCATTGATTTATAATGTTGTTTACCTTGTCAACTACGAATTGCGTATGTATCTGTTGTGATAAATGTTTATGGAAATAGTTGGATATAAAATTGTCACTATATATTTCTGTTGTGTTTAAAATCAAATCGTGGTTTAAATAGGAATCCGTGTATCATTCGATCATTCGTTTTTTTATTTAATATTGAAAGTAGAAAAATTAGAAAACGACTCCTTTTTCGTTTTTTTTGTTTTTTTTCCAAAAAACGAAAAACGAGATTTCAGCTTAAATTTTCGTTTTTCGTTCATGGGTGGAAAAATTAATAAACAGCTTGAATATTTGATTTCTACATGTGGGCGGGAATTAAACGCCCCTTT